TTCTCGCACCCCCCCGGTGCTTGCCGGCATGTTGCTTGCTTCGCGCATGCCAGCCATCCCTTTCAAAAAAATACTTCGGCTCCAAATCTAGAGCATGCGCAGGGGCCTCTTTTCTCTGAGCTCTCATCTGTTTCACGACTCTTCAAGGTGTCGCAATTTGTCCATCGGTGCCGGTGCTTTGCGCTCCCTGGAAGAGCCACCCTTCTCACAGAGTGCTCGGCACTTCGCTTCAGGGGGGTTCAAGATCCTGCACTCATTGGGGCCAGGGCCCCAGGCACCTGGGGTCCCTATTTATTCCCCGTAGCTGGCGCACCCAGCGCGGCTGGAGCACGTGGCACATTTGGCGCACGTGGAGCACGTGCCCGGCACGCTTGGGCCTCCAGGGTGGCTGGTGCACCTGGAACTCGTGGCGCGCATGGCATGTATGGCGTTCCGAAGCGAACTGCTGACACTCGGGTGTTACTCATGTGCTCGGAGGGCGGGTGGGAGTGAGCTAGTCGGCCTGCTATCTAGGAGGGTAGCTTGAACCCTCCCCCTACCCCCGCCCCCTGGACTGGGATAGCCGGGGGTCGTGGCGCGTTAGAGTGTCCAAGATGGCCTCGGCGAGAAGGGCCAAAATCACTGATATTCCTGAAGGTGTTGGCCCAGTTTTGGCCTCCTGGGAGGGGGGGGCCCTAATCACGTACCACTCCTTCTTTGACCGATCACCTCCAAGATGTCCCCAAGATGGCCCCTGAGGCCCCCGAGAGTGCCCGAAGAGGGCCCCAAGAGACCCGAAGTGGCTCCCCCGAGGCACCCAAGACGCTTTGAGAGGCCCCCGGGACCGCCACGAGGCCCCCAAGACGCCCCAGCAGGTCTGCAGGAAGCTCTCAAGTGACATCCGAAGAGACTCCACGAAACATCCAAGGCCTCTGGCCTGTCCGTTCGTCATCCTCGTCCTCCCTCCTCCTAGTCCTCCTAATCGTCCTAATCATCCTAATCCTCCTAATTCTCGTAATCCTCCTCCTCCCCCTCCTCCTACTCCTGAGGTCTGCTCGAACAAACAGATGCCGTTGACACGCAATTTCTCGTAACTGGCTGAGTGTACAAATTCCAGCCCCAGCTGCAGGCGCTCAACTTGGGCTCCGCTCGAGGAGTCCGTTCACCCCTCGTCATTCCCGGTGCTGGCGGCTGGCGCGCTTCATGTGCATGACCTCGATCATGTGAAGGTCAAGCACCTTGCCCTCCTGCTTGATGCAGCGCACCTGCGACCAGGTTACAGTGTCGGCGCTGGCTCGAGGAAGGCGGGTGCGGTCCTGAGCATTACGACGGCGGTGAACGAAGGGGCTTGTCTAGCTACGGCGGACCTGGGCCACAAATAGGTTCCACGACATAAACCAAAGGAATGGCCCGAAAACCCGGGCCCCTCCTGAGCCCAAAGCGGTCCTTCTTTCAGCGTCTTGACTGTACGGCAGGCTGGTATGATAGAGGTCAGACATACAGGGGTCAGGCAACACAAGACTAGCAAAGATTGGCAGATACCAAAACGAGCAGGTCGACGAGACCAGAGCGAGGGCGCAGCAACACTACACTTTCGACCCCACATCCACATTGTTGAACTCGTCAATTAATTTCCGTAAAGCGCACATCCAAATGAAGCACCCGATCGAACAACAGTAGCCGGTGATGCACCGTCGATACAGGTGACCCGACCCCGCGGGATGTGAAAGCCGTCGCACCTCCACCCTTCACACTGTTGCATGCAGAGAGGAGAGCCCCAACCTCAGGAGGGCAGCGCCAGACTCGCTGCTGCAGCGCTACCGTCCTCCCTCCGCCTCTCGCCTCGCCTTCCGTTCCCTCGCTCTGGAAGAGCTGGTTAACCCTGGATCAGATGCTTTGGAAGCACGGTGGCGTGGTGGGCGCACCGCGTCGACGCACACCTGGCAGGCACGGTGGGGGAGATTACACATAGCAGTCTGCCATGTCCCTCCCCCTCATCCGTCGCCTCTTCTCCCTCCTCCTCCTCCTCCTCATCCTCCTCCTCATCATCATCAGCAGCAGCATCATCATCATCATCATCAGCATCAGCATCAGCAGCAGCAGCATCATCATCATCAGCATCAGCATCATCATATTATTATTCAGTATCATCACCCTCATCATCATCAGCAGCAGCGGCATTAGCATCAGCATCATCATCACCAACACCACCATCATCAGCATCATCATCATCATCATCGTCATCATCATCATCATCATCATCATCAGCAGCAGCATCAGCATCAGCATCATCATCATCACCATCATCCTCACAATCATCATCATCATCATCATCAGCATCATCATGCTAGCTCCTGACCGTCCTCGTAATTTTACTTACTACCTCCACTATCAATAATAATCCGCTCGTCCAGACTGTAAACCTCACACATGCACATTCGCAGGCGCACAGGAAAATAATTGGAGATGGGCGTCATGGCAACTGGAGTTATGCACAACAGCACACGGTTTCACCCCAAGTGTACATATACGCGCACGAAAAAAACTCAAATGGCTTAAACAACTCGCCGCATCTTTTCACACGCCTGGCTGTGCATGCGCACGCACTCAAGAACATCTACATACAAAGAGGAGGTCAAAGAAAAAAGCGACAGTGAAGCGGAAGCAGCAGACAAAGACGAAAGAGACACGTGAATTCGCTGATCCGTGCATGCAAGGGTCGATGAGGCGCATGAGACGTTGGCCACTGACTGGACGGGGGTTCAAGAAACCACCCCAAGACGCATCGAAACCTTCCCTAGCGCCATTTTAAACCATGGCGCGGACCTACGCGCCCCGAAATGCATTCCACGCCGTCAGGAGGCCGTTACGACCTCCAGACCCTTGGCAGCGGCTCCTCGTGAGGTCATTTGGTCCTGGCAGGGTCCTGGTAGTGTCAGGTGTGTCCTGGTCCGGTTTTAGTGGGGTCATGGTGGGGTCTTGGCGGGGTCCTGGCGTGGTCCTGGCACGGTCTGGAGAAAGTTCTGCCCGGGCCGTGGTCAAGTCCTGGTGAAATCGTGGCGGGGCTCTGGTGGACAGAATCGGAAATTTTTGCTAGTCCGCAATACAAGCGAGCCCTAATGGCGCGGCAGCCGCCGGGCAGGTTAAGAAACAAGCACTGCACCTGCTGAACAGGACAGCTAGGAGGGGAGTAACCATCTCGTTGGAGTGCGAAGCAAAACTCCCTCTGGCCTGTTCAAATTCCCTCTGGTCTGTTCGAGCACTATTTCTGAGGTCGCCCTGCACGTCTACGGGATCAAGTTCCCAAACATGGCATCTGATGCACGCCTGTCATGCCCCGTTGCATGGCGCCCTCTGCGTGCACGGTCGAGGAAACGGACTGTCCGTTCGCGTCGGGTGGCTACCCATTCGCGGAAGCCCGCGATGCTGCACTTTGCACGCGAAAAGTCCTTCTTGTCGCGGGCACGGCGAACACGCAAATCGGTCGAGCATCCCAGGGGCGCTGCAAGAAAGTGAGGGGGGCCGCGGAGAGGGCGGCCGGCTCAAACCATGCAAGTCTTCGGGGGGCGTGCTGGGGCCCAGGCTCGAGCGAGCGGTGCAAGTGGAACGCGAGCAGAACGTCCAGGAGGAGGTCCAGCGAGCTGGGGGCACTCCGAGCGGGCTCGACAGCGACGATGATGACGAAGAAACGTCGCGCTCACGATCCGCACCGAAGCACGGATTCGAAAAAGGGCCCACCTTGCAAGATCTGATACGCAGTGCAGTTTGAGCGGTGTTGCGGGTTCTCCCCTGAGCACGGGCCCCCCCCACACTGGAGCAACAGCCATACGGTCCGGGCCAGTACCATCACGCCTTGCGTAAATTCCAGCGCAGCGCCCGCTGCCACAATTCGCACTGCCCAGAAGCGGAAGCCCGTGAGTGACCACGACCAGCGCCTAAGGATGAAGGGCGGTCCTTTCAGAATGTGGCTCTCGCCTTACTGCCGCGCACATTGTTTTTCAAAGTTCGAAACAGCCTCGAGGACTCTCAGCGTCGAAGTCCCAGGAATGGTATTCTGGCACGATTTACGATGGTCAAGACGCGCAACAGCCAGGCTGATTCGGGTTATTGAAGTCCCAGGAACGGCCTTCTCGTACAAAGGTTGTCCGAACGCAACCGTCACTTTGATTCGCGGCGTTGAAGTCTCGGGAATTCGTGTTCTGGCACGATTGAAAAGTCTCATACCATTGTCTTCCGACGGGGCACTTTCCGCAATGAAACTAATCACTGCGTGGAGCTCCCCATATGTGCATCTATCTGCATAGACCTTTCCGCCGTGAGTGTCAAGACGCATGAGACCTCGAATACAAACGGGCTCCAGCATTGATAGACTGAAAGTGAGTCGAACTGCCTTCCTTTCCTCCTCCTCCTCTTCCTCCTCCTCCTCCTCATCATCAACATCATCAGCATCATCATCATCAGCAGCAGCATCAGCATCAGCATCAGCAGCATCAGCAGCAGCAACAGCAACCACATTATCATCCGCATCATCATCATCATCATCATCATCATCATCATCAGCAGCATCAGCATCAGCATCAGCATCATCATCATCATCATTCTTCCACCCTCCCGCCTCATCCTCCTGGTCGTCATCCCACTACCTTTTCTATGATCCTTCGCCTCCATTTCCATCAAATCATGTTGTCGCTCGCCGACCAGGCGACCGACCCTCCTTCTTCAAGCAGGGGGCGCGGAGACCTCCGCCATCGGATCAGCGATCGCCGGGGTCACCTTGGTCCTGGGCCCCACCCCCTGGCGCACCAGCCTTCAATAAGAGAGGCGGCATTCTTCCACATCCCTCCTCGCTCCTATCCCCTCTCTCCTCCTCCTCCTCCTCCTTCTCCTCCTCCTCCTCCAACTCCTCCTCCTCCTCTTCCCCCTCCTCCTCCTCCTCCTCCTCCTCCTCCTCCTCCTCCTCCTCCTCTTCTTCCTCCTCCTCCCCCTCCTCTCCCTCCTCCTCCTCCTCATCCTCCTCCTCC